AATACAGTTCAACCATAACCTCAAAAAACAAAAACAAAATACAGCCAACAATAGTGATATTAGCCAATCATCATTATCGCTGTCATCACTGCACTCTTCAGTTCTCTCTTCCACTCTGTTTACCCACTCCAGTCTTGCTTTTTTCTCACTCTTCTACCATCAATCACTACATTAGTAATGTAGTGTCCTTCCCAAATCAACGCAGTAAAAAACTCTGCACCACCTCTTTCCTGTTCTCCCTCCACCCTAGCCTCCCTGAAGCTGTCAGCCTCCACCACTGCTCCCTCCAGGGACAATTCAGCCTACAAACCTCCATAGCCGCTGTCTGGGCCAAACAACAGCAGGTTGGACAACCTTAGTGCTTGTTCATGCCGTCATGAGGTTTCCATAACACTGGGCAACTGACCACTATTTTACATTTGTCATAGCAATTATTGCTTATCCTTTGCAAAATGAAAGGGATTGCATTTTGTGAAGTGAACAATATTGCTTAAAGTAGCAACAGATGTGGTCACAGTACTGGCTGAAACGGGTCACTGGAGAGACCGGGGCACTTGGACAGCTGTGCCCACAGAGAATTCAAAAACAATCTCTTATAAACTTACAATACAAATACAAAATTTAAAAAAAATTTTAATCCAATAAATACACACTACACACTATTTTGTGTGTGTTTTAACAAACTAACTAAATTATATTTGTCAAAAATGTTGGGAAATAAGCAGAGAAAAGAAAAGATTAAAAAAAGATCAACTGTTAAGACATGGGGGGTTTTAAGGTAGGCAGTGAAACAAGCATTGGTTTTGGAAAGACATACTTCATTATAGCTCATCACTTTTGTTCATCACAATTTGTAAATACTCTAGAGAAATACCCTAACTAGCAAATGTTTTTTAACCTAGGAAACCTAATATTTCCAGTATGACAATGCCAGGCCTCTGTCAGCCAAGGGGAGCAGATATTCTGAAATAACCAACGGCTCACATTAATAAATATGTATTTACAAAATCACTATATAACTCCTGGAGTGACATAAATGTCAGTAGTCAGTAATCTACGTAGTTATTGTATTTCATTTCACAGGTTTTACATATAAGGTGTGTTGGCAGGTAGTGTTTTTTTATAGGACACGAAAGAAAATAAAAATACACCATTGTTGACTTGCATGAACTTAGTTACACCACTCTGCGGCCAATCAGAATCACTTACATCCAACAGAGAACAGGCCCCAGTAGCTAATTTCTTCACCTCTCCCTCCTTCTCCCTCCTTCAGTGTACACTTGGATTCAGTTTGTCAGTCAGTTTCATTTTAAATGCAGAACAGAGCGGGCCTCCACTTCACTCTGCTAACTGGTTCATTTGAGGACATGTTTTTAGTTTTTCCTCCATGTTTGAAGACAGTGTGGTTCTAAGTAGAAAATATATTGCATATTCTGTGCTGCCTGACCAAAAGCATCCAATTCAAATCATGTTTCCCAAAATCTTGAACATGATCTTAGATTTTTGAACACAAAATAATGTTATTCAGTTCTCTTCCACTCACAATAACCACAATTTAATATAACGTAAAATCACCAGCCTTGCAGTGAGGTCTTGAGATACACTTTTATTTGTTTCTTAATATTTTTGTTTCTTGACCTGTGTGTTCTGTGTTTCATGTGAAGTTTTGGCTTCTTGTATTATTTGTAGACCGGGAGGACTGACTGAGGGAGTGACAAAACGGAGAGGGAAGGGTGGGGCGAGTTGGTCTGACATCCAACTACTCATATCACAATTATTAAGGCTGATGATGTCTTCTTGATACAAGCACGGACTATAAAAATCTGTCAAACTGCCCAGTCACTCACTGTTTGCTAAGGCTTTTCTGCTCACATGAAGCAGTTACACATTGTGATTGTGTATATCTGATGTATTTAATCCAAAGTCAAGTGACATTTGACCTTCAGGAGATAAATTACCTCGTATGAGCTCACATTATGTAGCAGTTTAAAATCCAGTCCTTAAGACTGGTTAGGAACTATTTTTTTTACAGCTATCTTTTGCACCATACTGTCAGCTGGGATTAGCGCAGGCTCCATCCATGGCACCTAGGCAAACTAAGCTATCAAAAAGGATTAATACATCTGAGCAGTCCACTTGTTACAACTTAAGGCACAGAGAAAGTAAGAGTGAAGCCAGAATCATTTTTATGGCTCCAGATTTTATAAGAGCAGCGAGGGACGGTGAAGCTGAGGAGAGTCAGTGAGCTTTACCAGGCTCCTGGGGGGTTTGACGGCTGCTGAGGAGCTACTTGAGGAGTTGTGTCATTTTACAGCTGTGGTTATAGAGGCAAGGAGCTAAGTTACATCCACAGCATCAGCTGTGATTCAGGCTGGCTGGGTTGCCTGCCTGCTTAGAAATGTGAGTCAAAGAGCAAATGATGCCTTCCTCCTGTTATATAGGACAGAGCTGGAGTCAGACGCTGGATGTAGTCTGTGTGTGAAAACTTAAATAAACTTGCGCTGGATTTTAGGAAGGGAAATACAAACACCTTTCACCTGCGTGTCAAACACCAGCAACCAATTAGACACTTGAAGAAATGTAAAACTTTAATTATTTCAGAAACCTCTGTTGTTAGGAATGTGACAGTATCATTGATTGTTTTTCATGTCATGTATTTACTGTAGATCTGCAAAAATAAGGGTGATATAAATCTGAAGTGAATGAAGCTGTGATGTGTGCTCATCAAATTGAAGGTTAAGTCAAGACAAACACTTGACCCTCCCTTCCGAGGACATTAAAGGCCTGATCTCAGTCAAACCCAATGAGACGCAAAATGCTCACTTAGCACTTCAGCATGCGAACAGTAAAAGTATTTGCTCCAACCACACAGCGCTCATCAATGAGAAGCCTTCTAAACTGGCATCTCAACAACAGGATGGAGGACTAAGCTGGAACCCAGTCCTCTACCCTGAGTGTAAGCACCATGAGATACTTCACTAACAATGCATTTATAGTTACTTTAAATTTAAATTCATTCATTATTGAGGTGCTGAGCTAACCTCCTTCTGAATATGTTGTACAAAAATGGCTGTGCATGGAGACTTTTCACCTGACAAACATTCATCTGTCCCAGAGCATGCTGTTATCCCAGCTGTAAACTTCCAGGAGCTTAGTGCCTAGTTTGAGGTCAGAGGTTAATATGGTGCTGGAGGCTATACAAGGCACTGTCCTAAATATAGTCCTTTATGTGTAGTGAGCACAGTCATTTGACCCCCACAGACTCTGAAATAGACATTTAAGAGGTGATTTGTCTCCATTTGTTGACAGAAGACACTGTTGGTCATTTTTATAATTTTAAGCAGGAAAAAAAATATTTCCCCAAACCCAATACAAGATAAGAATATAGTGTTTAATAAAAGGTCTAAGATGCCTTAACAATTACAGTATGTGTTGTTAGTACAAGTTATCCTGAAAACTGATTTTGGGGGCTTTTTTTTCTTTTTTACTCAAATGTAAAAAAAACAAACAAAAATGTTTCAATAAGAAATCTCATGCATCTGTTGATGATTATTAACCTCCAGGCTCCCAGAGTGACTTTAAGAGTGGCAGAGTTCACCAGCTTTCTGTGCAGACGGTGTAACTCTACTATGACTCTATTTTCCAGTGTGTGCATGGCTCAGTGCAAAGCAAGCAGAAGGATGCTAGGGGTAGGGATTTTTTCAGGTAATGCCGTCAGCCAGCTGTGATGAGACAGATTGCGACTATGCCTCAGTCTGACATTTTGGGCTGTCTGCATTTTGCCAATGAGCTTTAAAAAAAAAAAAGGAAGGAAAAGAACTGCCCTAGCAAGTCTGTCTCGTCTCAGTGTCCAACCGACTCAGGCCTGCTTTTCGACCAGGGCTTCTAACTGTGTCTCTGTGGGAAGGGGGCACAAATGTGCGATGTGAATTAGACCACACAGAATATTACATGTATTACACGTAAGTGCAATTAAACCAGAACGCTTGGGTGAGTCACAATGATATGTGTAACTACTTGTACTTTATTATAGTGTAGGGACATGGGACAAATAGGTTTAGGAAAACACCATAACTCTTTGTTGTGTCAAAGATTTTTTGTTAACTGGTTTTAACTGGGCATTATTTACCCCCATACATAAAAAAAAATTTCTTTCATATTTACGTGACTTTTGTTTACCTCGAAATGGCAGACATACTGCATATGTGGACAGGCACTGAACGGGCACCTTTTCGGTCTTCCGGACAAATGACTAGACGAGCCGGTGTTATTAAATGATACATGTGTATCTCTGTTTTCAGGTAAGCGATATGGGCGTGTATTTAGCGCACATAAAAATTGAAAATAATATCAAATGTGTTTGAGACAGTGTCCAGCGAGCTAACAATGCCTATATCGCTTAATTCCATTGCGTAAGTAATGCTGAGTGTGTTTGTTTACGACGGAGCAACGTCTTTGAAAGTGCAGTTGAGACAGTGACCAACGTTACAAACCCATTCGTACGCCTAAAAGCGTCTTTTGTCCAATTGTGCAACTTTTTGTTTTTACCAGTAAGACTAAAGATCTTACAAAATATGAAGTTTATGTTTTGCATGTGCAGGTGCTGTTCCTGCAAAACGAATTCATCTTTTATATACAGTTTATGGATTTTAATAAGCTGCAACCCTTTTCTCGAACTTACAAAGCTTTAAAGTTTGTGGATCTGGTAGCTTCCAGACTCCAGGTTGTGTCACAGTAATAAATAAATAAATAAAACATATGTTTAAAATACACACTATTTAAATTTTTTAGATGATAAATGTTTTTTATTAATTGTCTAGGTTATCCTAAATATTTAGGGGGGGTTTAAAGATGCAATTCTGACTTAATTAAGTTACATTGCCACTTACAATGGCATGTTCAAAAGCAGAGGCTGAACTGAATCAGCAGGTCTCATCTCCTCGTCTTCATCAGAAGACTCTCACACAACACTGATGTCACTCTGTCTTTCTCACACCCAGCCTTCAACCGTGGGTCCTGGCTCGTGTTGATCGCAGTCTGGCCAGCTTCCTGTCTAACCAACAAGAGCATGTAGAAAGAGACGGGCAGCAAACATGGCTACATCCACCTGCTAATCCAGCCAGGTCACAGAGGCCAAAAACAGCAAGGTGAGGAGCTCGGCTTTGAAGCAGGAAATGGATTGTAAATCTCTTCATGATGTTTTAGGACCTTAAATTCACTTCACTGCTTTGACTCATTTTACCAAGAATGGAGTTGTCATGAGAAACCTTTGGACACTCCTAAGCATTTCCAGACTGGTCACTGCTCAGGGCTTTTGTAATATTTGGCTCAGGCTGAGCATTTTTTTTACCTTGTCTCCACTTGTCAGATTCCTTAATTGCGGAAGTCCGACCACCTAGTCAAATTTATCTTATGCGTGTGCATGCAGCCTACAGACCGTCATGTTTATGTAGTGGTAATTGGTGGACAGGTGGACTGGAGGCCTGTTTTTTTACTTAAACTACTCTGAGGTGATTCAGAGCACAGCTAACTAGACCTCGCTTAACCCCCTGTCTTTAGCCCCAATCAACACATGGATATTAGGCACCATGTAACCTCTGTCTTTGTGTATCCGAGAACTGGTTTGTGGCAAAAACCTGTCAAAATATCCCACTCTTGTTTCTGCCCGGCGACGGCAACAGGACCTCTACAGTAATTTTCAGAAATCTGTCCAAATTGCTTAAATCTTCAATTGTCTATAATTAGCTGCTGTGTTAGGTTACTGGGGGTTGCCTCCAATCATGTGGTGAGAAGTAGAAATAGCACTAGTCGCTTCCAGCTGGTTAATGACTGGCAATGAAGGCTGCTTACCAACAGTTGCTTTAGATATTTACAGAGTATTCCGTTGAAAGTAAATCTGTACCTTAATAAATATGTAAATATCAATACCTTATAAACCTATAATAATTTCTTATAGAATTTAAAACCTATACCTAACCCTTCATTCTCCGGTGAAGGTTCAGGTTTACAACTGAGGATGTTCTCATCTGAATGTTTTTCCTGAGCAAACCCTATAGTCCTAGCAGTCAGTGCAGGTGGTGTCAGTATTATCTTTTTAGTACCTGTCTCACCTGTAACCTGAACTCTAAATAGCAATGATAACAGGCTTCTCTGCATGGGGTCACACTGTGTAAGGGGTCATGGTGAAACAGACTCTCTCTTTGTGTGTTGCCAGTGAAGTTTAGGACCAGGGTTAATCAGGGGGAAGAAAGCCTACACCACTCCAAATCAACTCCAGCCAAGCTGGCTGAATTTATCTCAAACTTATTAACTTTACTCAGGACTCAAATTGAAACCAGCCAGAGCAAAGGTGTTGAGTGTGTGAAGTGACAGTATGATTTAGAAGGCGAACCGCGCTGCAGATGCTGCAGAGTGAGGACTGGTTCAGAGGCAGGCAGAGTTGATGTGTTCTCATGAAGGTCTGCGAGGTTATCGGTTCACTTTTTATTGTTAGTCATAATGACAGTGTGTGGCAGTAACAAACACAGCGTGTGTATAAAGTGAAAACAATTGGCAAAGGAGGAATGTGGAGTAGCTTCTCACAAACAAACTTTTACTTTGTAGTTTTATGATGTGAATTTTGTGGAAGCACTTCGAGTCAACCACAGCTCATATGTTTAGGTTGGTTGGTACTGTAAACATGAAATTAACTGTATTAGTTAATTTTTATAGTCATTACTGCATGTTAAATGGAATACATGTAGAATTAAATACATTGCTTCCATTGGAAACAATATTGTAGTTCTGTAAAAACTTGAATATTCAACATGTGCATAATAGCTTTGGTATTTTTGTTGGACTCACCAATTCATTGCTTAAATACTGTGCATTTTTGTCTGTCAAAGTCTGAATGATCCATTAAAAAAATAGATATAACTTAATGACGTTTCAGTAATGATCATGTAGTAGAGCACTGGTTCTATTTATCCAGAACCTAGCAGTTTTATCTACTGATCTTTTTTGGCATTGCATTTATTCTGAAGTGTTTGCAGGGCTCTCACATCACACTACTCTCCTTTACTTCCTATCTCCACTCCTCGTCTAGTTACCTCTGTAAATAATAGACTTGGTAAATGTAGAGATCGATAACGTAGCCAGTGCACGTCACACGCTGCACATCTTTTCAGTTTGT